AGGTACATTTTTTTTTTTTTTTTAGATTATTTAGATTTTCCCTGAGCTAACATCCACGCCAACCCTCCTCTTTTTGCTGAGGAAGACTGGCCCAGGGCTAACATCTGTGCCCATCTTCCTCTACTTTATATGGGACACGGCCTCAGCATGGCCGGAGAAGCGGTGCGTCGGTGCGCGCCCGGGATCCGAACCCAGGCCGCCAGCAACGGAGGGCGCGCACTTAACTGCTAAGCCACGGGGCTGGCCCTGCTAGGTACATTTTAATGAAAATTTGGTATGCTTAGGGGATGAGACTGAAAAATTAATATCATGTTTTAGCAAAAAGCGCTAATAATGCAGTTCTTCCTTTAGGATTTAAGTATTTACATGCTTTTGTTTGACCTATGACAACAAAAAAGCCAAATATTTAAATAAACTGAATTTTCACAAAGTATTAAACAAAATTTTTTTTAAAGAGAGAGCATAAAGACCTGGCCATCCAGTCCCTTACTTTATCCAGTTCCTTTAACTCTTTGTAAAATATTTTAATAGCATACTTTTGGTGAGAGCAAAATGGGTTTGATACCATTAGTAAAATAAAACATTTAAAAAATATTGCATATGTTCATTTTATCCTTTAAAATTTTCTTATGATTAAAATTTATATATTAGTAGAGTAGCATATGTATATTATATAGCACACAATTTTTGCAATTAGGAGTGATTTTTAAAAACAAAGCAAAAGTAAAGCTTTGGTAAAGGAAACTTCTACAGATGCTGCCTTCTTGGGTTTACTAAATCTGACAATTTGACAGGGTTTACCTATTCCTAATAATGATTTAAGAATTTAACTTGAGATTTGAAGAATTCAGCAAAATTACTGATGACTGAACTTACATGACAGTACAAAAGCTAAATGCAATTTACTATCCATTTAAGCACAATCAAGTAAATTAAACTAACATACAGGAACTTTGATAATTTCAACTTATTTTTTCACGAATTGTGACATCCTTTAGTAGAAATGGCTGTATATATTTATGTCACAATCTGGTTCCTGCTTTCTTCTTATTGTTCAAGTCTTAGTTTTTTGTCACATGCTATTCTCCCACAGTGTTCAGAACTGGCATCTTTTTCTTGAGTAATACAGTTTGCTGACAAATTATTTTTGCATCCTTAATTGCCCAGAGCTCTTCCTAGATTTTTTTTTTTGCATGGATTTTAAGGAGGCTACTTCCATCTAATACTGCCTACAAAATTAATGCTAATTAATGGCACTTGTTTGCAAGGGCCTAAGTTCTGCTTTTTAACCTTAGTTGTGCACAATCACTAGTCTGCCCAAGTAAATAGGTGAGCATATGCTGCTTCTTTATGCAGAAAGGGTAACTTCTTTTTTTAAAGATTTTATTTATTCAGTTTTTCCCCCCAAAGCCCCAGTAGACAGTTGTATGTCATAGGTTCACATCCTTCTAGTTGCTGTACGTGGGACCCGGCCTCACGTTGGACGGAGAAGCGGTACCTCGGGGTGCACCCGGGATCCGAACCCGGGCCGCCAGCATCAGAGCGCGCGCACTTAACCGCTAAGCCACGGAGCCGGCCCAGAAAGGGTAACTTCTTGGTTGGAATTTGTGGAAACATGGATGCCATACTACTCTTTGTGTAACATCAATAAATATTCCCTATGACTAAAGTATCCAAATGGCTCAACTGCCCTTTCATTTGATCTTTGTACTACGCCATTCCTTCTCACCAGTCCCCAACCCCAATCTGTATGACAAATAATGTAATCACAGTGAATAGCTCATGTATGTTGTTGGTCATAGCACAGACTTCAAAGCCTGCAAGTGTATAGTGGCTGTATATAAAGTAATTATCTCTTGAGCAACCTACTCTATGACCAGCATTTTTGTTGTTGTTGTTGAGGAAGTTTGGCCCTGAGGTAACATCTGTTGCCAATCTTCCTCTTTTTGCTTGAGGAAGATTGTCAACTGAGCACCTGTGCCAATCTTCCTCTATTTTGTATGTGGGACACCACCACAGCATGGCTTGATGAGCGGTGTGTAGGTCCGTGCCCAGGATCCAAACCCTTGAACCCCGGGCCACCAAAGCAGAGCACGCAAACCACTACGCCACCAGGCCGGCCCCTGACCAGCATTCTTTTACACATTTTAACATGGCAATACTGTGGTTTAAGATCCAGCTAGCTCAGTGAGGGTTTAGTTTACATTCATTATCATGCCTAAAAACCTTTCCATTTCCTATGGAAGAGGCCTGTCATCCTTATATTTCACTCTATTAATGAAACATAGCATTGGAATGATTCCTGACTGAAAAGTGTAACAAAACTTTCTTTAGTCTCACATTAATTGAAACTACCTTGATAGAAATTTATACTTAAATATATTTAATATATTCTTCAGATAGCAGTTTAGTATTAACTACACATCCATCCTAGCACCAAAGTGCTTTAAAAAACAAAACAAAAAAACCCTAAATTCTCATCTGATAACATAAAATATATCCCACGTTTCCAGAAATAAATATTCAAGTTCACTGGTTTTAGGTGAAAGTTTTACACATATGATCCTGTTTCTTGCTCCTCTTTTAAAGGTAGGTGTATTTTGTCTTGACATTCATCAGGGTTCTCTACAAATTAACACACATTAGAATAACATCTATATATTTCATGTTATTTTAATACATACACTAATCTATGCATGCAAAGTCATTGCCTTCAAAAACCATTTAAAAGATTCTATTGACTTGTGTAAATTACACCTTTTGCTACAACTGCTTATTTCTCATCTTGGAAAAATAAACATTTTGAGTCACAAAACCATTCTCTTCACTGCTGCTGTTTCTAGCTACTCCTGGAAAAATAGAGCCACCTTTGAATGCTACACTGTCTGTTGCCCTTAGCTTAAAATTAATTAGGGTGCCTTTTTTCTTTCCCATCACCTTTCAACTTCAGTGCTCTTGATATCCAAGAATTCAACTTATATGTGCTTGCTGGGATTTGTCTGTCTAGATACTTTTGGCAAAGCATGTCACTTTCAAGCAAACCATGAATTTTCTAACTTGCTGAGAATCTTTGAAGATTCCGTCTGAAGGTGCCCTGCTACATTAAGCGTACTTTTGTGAACATATCTGTGAACCAAACCACAATTAAGTGCTGTTAAATAATTAAAAACAAAACAAAACACCCTCTCTGGGTAAACACAACCCCAAAGGCACCTTGGCCAGGTGGCTGTGCCTTGGTAGAAATTAGGAAAAAGTATTCCTACCTTTACGTGGATGCAACCTCACGCATTGTCAGGGCACACTATTTGTCGCAGATTGCAAGCTGGATTCCTACCTGCCCTGCTCCTCTTGGCTGGGTGCCCATCTGCATAACACAACCCACACAAACTCAGTGTGGTGGTCCTGCTATAATTTATAGCGTAGTTCCAAATAAATTGAAATTTAAGCATTTTTTAAAAAGCAGATTACTCATTATGAAGATCTCAGGGGAGGGTGTTTTAAAAGTCCAATGTTTAAAATAATAGTTCAAAAATAGTGTCAAAATAAAGTTTAACAACTTTTAAGTACTGGAAACGTTCAGCTTTAGCCTTTTTCTCCTTATACAACTAAGGCAAAATGACTCCAAACCATTGTGAGAGCAAATGGTTCCACTGCAAGTTGAAGAGACTGTCACTCTGAAGTCCAAGGATGACAGAGCAAGTTTAAATACCTTTTAATTATTTGGTAAATTTGGGGGAATACAGGTAATACTAAAGGGAAAAAAACCTTCTACAAGGAGCTTTCAAAGTTTCATCTAGGCTTTTAGAAGGCTACCTATAAAACCTGACATAGATTCACATATACACACATGCATTTGTGACAGAAAATGCTACAGTATTAATTTACAATGGAAACAAAGTTTGCATGTATGCACTGTAAAGGATATTTCAGCAATCCTACTTAAACTAAGGTACGGGATGAACAATAAAGTTGTTGAAAAGCTAGCATTTCTCATTTATATTGTCGAAATGATCAAAATAATATACATATCAAAGCATAGGAACTAAAATACTGGAGCCACACAGGATTTCAAAAAATTAAGACTGGTAATCAAAGTTAATTTTTAGTGACAATGTATTCATACATTATTCAGTGGCACCAATTTTTGTGAAAAATGTCATCAGTGTAAATGCCTCTATTATGTACAGATAAGAGTTGAAGTTTTTCTAATATTTGACTTTCCCCTAAATTATTGAATCGTCAAGTGCCTAATCAAAGGCAATCCTCACGTTTCAAAACTTGTATCGTTCAATGCCATCCTTTCTCTTTCATTTCCTGATACTGAATTAGGGGGTAAAGAGTCATTTTTGGAAGAAATTATTTCCAAAGGTAAATAAGAACAGTGGGAAAACTATTTTAAATCATATGGCAGCCTGGTTAAGTTTTTTCCTTCATGGCTTCTATTTACCTCTACAAATAACCTAACTCCCCAGTGCCAAAATACTAGCATGGCCCAATTAGGTCACCTTGAAGTGTCAATGTTTCTGGTAATAATAATTTCCAGAACCCAAACAAAGATATTAATATTTTTTCATTTCTGTATGAAATTTAGGCTTTTAAAAGCAATAATGTCGTGTTATCACAGGAATCTATTTTAACAGACAATAGATAAAACCAGAATATCTAAATTTATAATGTTAAATTTTGATATATTTAAAATTTCACTTCAAAGTAGTTTTCAGTGACAAAGCAAACCTAGTCTACTAATTCTTAAGAAACAATTATGAACATAAAATGTAAAAGACGACGAACCACAAGTTTATTCTACAATTTTTCTATGATAGGTATTAAATTCTGTAGAAAAATGCAAACATCACCTTTATTGTTATTATTTACATTTGGTTCTGTAAACAAAGTTGGCCAAAAAAAAAAAACTAAGAATTTTATACATATTTGCAAAATTTTCAAGAATATGATCTTTATCACTTCTGAAAGGTTTTTTTTTTTTTTTTTTTGATCTTTATCACTTCTGAAAGGTTTTTTTTTTTTTTTTTTAAGTCTAAAAGCCAATAAATGTAGAAGTTGAAGGGGAAGAGGAAAACACTGACAACAGATTATTTGAATTTTCCTCTTCCCAGATATCTAAAACATCACATATACCACTGTTTTCGGTGTAGCTTGTGAAACCCAAAAATTCTGACTTCTCTTCACTAGTCTGAAATAAGTCCAATAGAGATTGTACTGGTGAACTACAAATTCTGTTTTCCTCTTGTGTAATAAGAAATTCAGTTCTTTTCTTATCTACTTCCACATTTGGTTTCAGATTTTCTTTTTTATTTCTTCCTAATAATATCTTCACTTTCCGGTGGATTTTATGAGAAGGTAAACTATCCATATTCTTGATGTCACATTCACTGGGTTCCTCAGGAGGACTTCGGGATGGAGTCTTTGCCTGAATTGTTAGGTGCTTCTGTGAACTGTTTATTACTAGTAGACCAGAATCATGACCAAATACTGAATGATGGTCCTTTTCCTTTAGATCCTTTGCTGGAAAAAGCAGAGTATCTGACTTTTGTTTTGGTTGAGATGCACTATTATCCATATTGAAATTAGCAACTTGTATAGATGCCTGTAGGCTACATGGACAGTGATCTACCTTTAGTTCTTCTAAGTCATTTTCATTTATAATTAATTTATGTTCAGAAACATCAAGAATGCATCCCTGTTTATTTTTATGTGGAGGTAGACGTGTAAAATTTTGTTTTATGTCCTTCTCAGCTGGATTTAACATGGAGCATTTATTAGTTGGTTTCTCATCAAGTCCTCTCAATTCACTTGAAGGATAGGGGATGCATTCTGAAATAAACACAAACTTGTGTTCAAGTTCCTTGGTTTCTTTATACAAGAAACTCTGCTCAATCACCTGTACATTATTTTCCCTGAAGTCTTTCTGACAAATATGTTGCAATTCTAGCTTTTCTTTTGGTTCAGACTTTTCCAGGACATTTGCAGTAATAGGAGGAAGGGATCCAACACTGTATTTTATTCTTTATAGGAAAAAAAGAAAAGAAAAAAATTAAAATAATTGCTATCAAAAATTCCTAAAATTAGCTAAAAAAATAAATTAGTAAAAATCTTTTAAAACTATTTACAAAACTTATTTAACTTAGAAAATATTTAAAAAATACAGAAATCTTAACATTCAATTAAATTCACTTTAGACATTTTTAAAGTAATAAAACTTTACAGATACAGATGAAAACTCTAGTAGTGTACTCTGTTTTCATCTACATTATTCCCTTTCCTTCCAGAGCTAACAAGTATCTTGAATTTGGTGTCTAAAACTACTTTAACCATATAAATCAAAGAAATATGATAGTAAAGAGATTTGGGTCTGTTCCTAATTTTTTCATTATCTTGAAAATTTTCATAACTTCTATGCTTTAATTGACATTAAGGTTGTCTCCTCATTTACTTAGCAATGTGGAGAATGAATGTTTACTGGGAAACCTAAGGCAGAAACATTTTTTTATTTACTACAGTCACGCGTTGCTTAACCACAGGGATACGTTCTGAGAAATGTGTCATTGTGCGAACATCATAGAGTGTACTTACACAAACCTAGATGGTACAGCCTACTACACACCTAGGCTATATGGCACTAATCTCATGAGACCATCATTGACCAAAATGTCATTATGTGGTGCATGACTGTATTTAACTATAAAATATCTAATATCATAGTGAGCTGAAAACTTGGTATCTTGGTAATAATTTGTCTTCTAAAGATGACAAATTAGTAATCCTTACATTTCACACACATATTTGACCTGAAACCCTCTTCTCCATGGAGCCTCCTGATATCTTAGATCCTTAGGATGCTAGTTTGTGTTAGATAATCCTAAATTACATACAAATAGAAAGAAACTTAACAGCTCACTAATTATGTTTTATTTACATGTCACATACAACAGAGAAATACAGAGTTCTGCTTGCTCCTTCAAAACCAGAATGGTTCCTTTTTTATTTACTTTGTTTATACTTTCACTTAAGAGTCCTCTTGAACAAATGTAAGATAAAAAATGTAAAAACACTAGTTCATTGGGCCGGCCCTGTGGCTTAGTGGTTAAGTGCGCACGCTCTGCTGCTGGTGGCCCAGGTTTGGATCCCAGGCGCGCACCAACGCACCACTTCTCCCGCCATGCTGAGGCCGTGTCCCACACATAGCAACTAGAAGGATGTGCAACTATGACATACAACTATCTACTGGGGCTTTGGGGGAAAAAATAAATAAATAAATAAAATTTAAAACACTAGTTCAACACCCTCTCTCCTTTAGTCTAAAGATGTTTAGCTGACTTGCACAGAGACAAAAATTGTGCAAATAATAAGATAACTGATTAAAAAACACCCAGTTTATACATAAGTACTAGTTCAGAATTTTGCTGCAGGTTGACTTTTTAGGGAATTTGAAATTCTTACAGTAGCCCATATAGTTTTTTTTTTTGCTTGAGGAAGATTAGCCCTGAGTTAACATCTGTGCCAATCTTCCTCTACTTTATATGTGGGTTGCTGCCACAGTGTGGCTGACTAGTGGTTAAGTCTACACACAGAATCCAAACCCATGAACCTGGGCCACCTAAGCAGAATGTGCTGAACTTACCACTACACTACGGGTCAGCTCTGTGCATAAAATTTTTTTTTGGTGAGGAAGATTAGGCCTAAGCTAACATCTGTTGCCAATCCTCCTCTTTTTGCTGAGGAAGATTGGCCCTGGGCTAACATCCGTGCCCACCTTCCTCTACTTTATACGCAGGATGCCTGCCACAGCAGAGCTTGATAAGCAGTGCGTAGGTCCACGCCCGGGATCCGAACCTGTGAACTCTGGGCTGCTGAAGCAGAGCAAACGAACTTAACCACTACACCACCAGGCCAGTGCCTCCGCCCATATAGTTTTAATAGTTGGAAATATATGCCTCCTCTTCAAATATCATATTAAATCAGTCATGAACAATTATGAATGTTACAGAAATATGAGGTTTAGGAACTGTTCTACCTAGATACAGTCAAAAAACTTTCTAGTTAATGTTCAGAAGCTGTAGCTTGGTATCATATCTTCTAATCTTCCTTATGCCTTAAGATTAGTCTAAAAACAGATATAACATCTACATAACCTATTGAGTTATCACTAATTCTAGGGTGTATCCACATGAAAGCATTTCTTTTTATTTTATATTTATGGGAATAATCTTACTAGGATCATTTTCTCAAGTGCAGTTGTATACTGAATAGCACTGTATTCACACTTGTCCTGTCAGTACCTTTAGTAAATATTATCAGCAAGTAGAGTTTAAGCAGAAATATTTAGTGACAGTATCAAGAAGACTTAATAGAGGTAAGCAGAGGAAGGCTTCTTAAAACTCCTTAAGATTAACTAAAAATTCTAGCTTTTTTTACTCTGAGTAGATAGTAAACTTCATAGTTCTAGACCAGGGGTTGACAAACTATATAGCACATGGGCCAAATCTAGTGCTGTCTATTTTTCTGAACAAAGTTTTATTGCAGCACAGCCACATCCATTTGTTTACATACTGTCTGTGGCTGCTTTCATTGTACAATAGCAAAGCAGAGTAGTTGCCAACAGAGATCTTATGGTTCACAAAGCCTAAAATATTTACTATGTGGTTCTTTATAGAAAAAATTTGCCAACTCCTCTTTTAGACTATAATGTTAAAAGAGAACCTTAAAGGTAATCTAAGGTAAGCACTTCAGGTAGTGGAGGAAGAGGGCAAGAGGAAACAACTACTCAGTTCTTAACCACATTTACATCCTGAAAATATGCATTCCTTCTAAGAACAGGAAACCTTGTATTTATTTTTAGTTTAATAAAACAGTTTAGTATTCTAGTAAAATTAAAACTTAGGTTGAAATTACCTTTTCTTTTTAGGCATGTCCCTTTCATATTCCACAAAGTCAAAAACTAACTTAGATACGATATCATCAACAACTTGGTAGTGATTACTGTGTGCAAAGTTTCTGTGTTGCTCACTTAGAAGATGCTAAAAAAAAACAACAAAAAAAGCATATAAATCACAAAATTATATTTTTAAGCCAACAGATACCTTTTGTTCAGGTTTTCTAATATTTTCATGCACCTAATATTAGGTTCCTAATAACTCTTCCCCAGAAATATCCTTTACTAGAACTTCAAAGGAAGTTAAGAAGTAAAATAAAAGTAACTTCTGAGAAACCCCTAAAACTACTTTGGTTTTCACAGTCTCCCATTTTTCAATGAGAAAAATTAAGTACTAATTTGTGGTTTCAATGGAACTGAAAACAAATGAGCTATATCAGAAAATGAAGCTAAAGACGGAGAAAAACAACAGTCACATTTAACATTCAGAGTGTGCTAATACTTTTGAAAACACTTTTCTCTTTACTACTTTATCCTTATACAATTACCACTAAGTAAGGTAGGGATTGTAAAATATTAAATGAATGAAATGTTATCAACTAACATACAAGAATCCAGAACAAGAATCTAGAAGGCAGATTAAACCAACAAATGAAATACAATGAATGCTGTGAAGTATTAAAAAAGAAAAGATTCATAAATGAGGAACATATTTGAGAATGAGGAAATAAATGATCTCAGTTACCTAGTGCTTATCACTGAGAGTACAGAGAAGTTATTCTCAATCTTCAGAGTGGTAAAGAACAAAAGTAAACAAATTCAGTGTATTGGGATAAAACTCACATGGAAACAAAGTTCTTTCTGAATAGGCGGAATCTGCAGGCTAATTCTATCATTTGTCTGTCAGCTGATCAGGGAATTATATCTAGAAGCCTATACCAAGATGATTATGGAAGAACCTCATTTCTGTTTCCCTAATTTCATATAATTTTAACTTCTGATGATCTGATTGTTTTTCCAAAAACGAATTTCTCCAGTGGGCACAAAAAACACAGTATTCTGGAATATCTATGTATTCCTTCCTTATTTGCAAAATTTACCACATACAAAGTATCTATGACCAGTAATGTTAAATGAATAAGAAATAATTAAAATTTAAAAAGAAACACTAACTCTTTAAGTTCCAACTCAGTTTATTCGTCTTCTTGGAAGGAAAAATAATTTATTAATTTAAATAAATTAAGAAAAACAGGGCCTGGCCCGTGGCTTAGCGGTTAAGTGCGCGCACTCTGCTACTGGTGGCCCAGGTACGGATCCCGGGTGCGCACCGACGCACCGCTTCTCCGGCCATGCTGAGGCCGCGTCCCACATACAGCAACTAGAAGGATGTGCAACTATGACATACAACTATCTACTGGGGCTTTGGCGAAGAAGGAGGAGGATTGGCAATAGATGTTAGCTCAGAGCCGGTCTTCCTCAGCATAAAAAGAGGAGGATTAGCATGGATGTTAGCTCAGGGCTGATCTTCCTCACAAAAAAAAAAAAAAAAAAAAGAAAAAGAAAAACAACCTCCAACTTTTGCACAGCTCCTGTCTACCTCCTCCTAGCTCTTCTAACTCATCCTTTAAGTCTTGATTTAAATGTTGCTTTCTCAGTTGAGCCTTCTATGTCCCTCATTCTACATTAAGTACTCTCATTATTTATTACCACTGCACTTTATACTTCACTTTTGTGACACTCATCATACTTGCAAATACATGTTTTATATCTGTCTTCTCTGCCAGATCCTAAGATGTTTAAGGGTAGGGAATATGTTTTGCTTTGTTTGATGCTTAATTTCCAGTAATAAAATTTGTTAAACAACTGTCTTGATATAGGTAGAAGGAACTCAATCACTGTGAAATCTAAGATTCAAAAAACTAAAGAATATTTTCTTTATTCTTAGTAACTAAGAAGCATAGACATGAAAAACTATAATAATAATAATTTTAAAATATCAATCCCAACATCTACTTTCACTAATTTTCCTTCCTTGTGGCAACAGTAACCAAGGTAAAGTAAAGTAAACCAGCAAAGTAAAATTTCAGGACCAATCTGTAATTTAACTTTTCAAACTGACTTTTGAGAAGAGGAACTATTTCTGAGATAGTTTAGTTTCTAACTAAAAATAATTTTAAACTAACTGTATTCTTCTTTATTATATAAACAAAACACAAAAAACTGACACAAAGCACTGATGTATCAAACTTCAATGTAGAGTCTGAGACAGAGAAAGTTTATGAATCAGATATTTTCAAGTATTATTCTTTCTCCTTTACTTTCCCACCATCTTCTACCAAAACCAAGCACCAAAACAAACCTATTATTTTAAAAATTAATTCAAATAATAACAGCTAACATTTAATAAGCACAGTGCCAAGGCACTGTCCAAGGTAACATAGACAGGAAGCCAAGATTCACACCTGTGCAGCCTGGATCCAAAACGCTTGCTTTTTTTTTTTTAATCAGTTTACAAACTGTATCAGTTCCCATTTTTAAAACTTTCTCTTCATCCCATATACCCTTCCAACTATTCTATTTCTCTTTCTGCTACTTTAAAGAATTATCTCCACTTTCTTCTCATCCTCCCATTAGTAAATCACATGATCATTTTTTAATTGCTCAGGCCTGAAATATTCCAGTCACTCTTGACTCATCATCTTCTCTCAACTCCCAACATCCAATCCATTGGCAAATCCCCTTGGCCCCACCTTTGAATTATATCCATAATCTGACTGTGTCTCATCACTTCTACTACCACCGCTTAGTTCAGGCCACCACCATCTGTTCTTTGATCCCATCAATCAGTTTAATTTCGCACTTTTGTGCGAAATTTTGAGTTCTTAAAATTTAGGATAACTCTATCAAAAAGAAATATATACTACTTAATAACTATCAAGTTGCAAACCACAATCAGAAGAATAAGCTAAAATTTAAATAGCAAATATTATTCATAGTTTTATAAATATCAGCCCCCTAAATAGAAAATCACATTTACGGTTTCGAGATCTTCATATTTTTGCAAGCAACATTCACAATATCCTTTTTTTTTCTTCTCTTTCAATTGGAGTTGAATTGGGATTCCACCACATTTATCGCCATCCGTTTGGATTCTGATGGAAATACATGGTAAAAGAATTAACTGCTGAACATGAGGAATAATTTTTAAAATTCATAGTCCTCACCTATCAAACAGAATCTGCCGTAATTTATACAGAGTCTTCCATCAACAATTCTTAACTATATTTCTTTTTAAGAAATTGAGAAGCAAATTAAGAATGAAATGGTCATTCTGGAGAATATTTAAGATCACTTAAGAGAAACAACATATTTTAATTATTTGCAAATATTCAAGCCCCATGCCCCCTCAATCTAAAGTTTCTAAATGTGACAAACTTAAGAGAGATTCAGACTTCAAATCTAGCAAAGGGACATTAAAAATATACAGGGAGGAAACCCTAAGAGCAACCAGAAACACATGCACACACACTCACACCACGCATTAAATGAATTACAGTCATGAGCCACATAACAACATTTCGGTCAATGAGAACCGCATATATGACAATGCTCCCATAAGACCAGTCCCATATAGCCTAGGTGTATACTAGGCTATACCCTCTAGGTTTGTGTAAGTACACTCTATGATGTTTGCACAACAACAAAACCACCTAACAACACATTTCTCAGAACATATCCCTGTCGTTAAGTGATGCATGACTGTATTTTAAATGTTTGCTTAAAAAGATAAAAAATTACTTGAAAGTTAAACCAACCTTAGTTTAACCTGAGTTTGCTTTTGGATGCTAGATGGCTTATCTACATCAAATGGACTGGAGGGCTTCTGAATAGAATAATTTATAGAAGGCATATTGGTCAGCTGAAGATAAAATGGCCTATAAAGTCTAAAAGAATAAAAAGACAAATACATGAGATTCTTTATGATGAAAGAAATTACGTTTGAAGTCTTATATTTCAAAATCACATAATTCATCTGGACTCTGAAATAAACAACAGAAACCAGTTAGGCTTTCCTTCCCAATTTCTAGACCTAATATTTTTTTTAACATATCAAAAAATTTTTTTAATTGTAGTAAAATATACATAAAATTTACTGTCTTAACCATTTTTAAGTGTACAGTTCAGTCGCATTAAGTACATTCACAATGTTTTGCAACCATTAACACTGTCCATCTCCAGAACTCTTTTCATCTTGCCAAACGGAAACTCTGTACCCACTAAACAATAACTCTCCATTCTCCCTTTCACACCAGACCCCGGCAACCACCATTCTACTTTCTGTCTCTATGAATTTGACTACTCTAGGTACCTCATTAAGTGGAATCATGCAGTATTTTCCTTATTTCACTTAGCATAATGTCCTCAAGCTTCATCCATGTTGTAGCACGTGTCAGAATTTCATTCCTTTTTAAGGTTGAATTATATTCCATTGTATGTATGTACCACAATATCCATTCATCTGCTGACAGACATTTGGGTTGCTTCTGCCTCTTGGCTACTGTGAATACTGCTGCTATCAACATGTATTTGCAAGTATCTCTTTGAGACCCTGCTTTCAATTATTTTGGATATATACCCAGAAGTGGAATTGCTGGATCATATAGTAGTTCTAATTTTTCTAAGAACCTCCAACTACTTTTCATAGCAGTTTCACCATTTTACAATCCCACCAACAGTGCACAAAGGTTCCAATTTCTCCACATCCTTGTCAACACCTGTTATTTTCTGTTTTTTTGATAGCAGACATCCTAATGGATGTGGTTTTGATTTGCATTTCTCTGATGATTAGTGATGTTGAACATCTTTTCATATGTTTGTTGCAATTTGTACATATTTGGAGAAATGTCAAGTCTTTCACCCGTGTTTTAATTGGGTCATTTGACTTTCTGTTGTTGAGATCTTTACATTAACATCTTATTAGATATATTATCTGCAAATATCTTCTCCCATTCCATGGGTTGCCTTTTCACTCTGTTGTGTCCTTTGGTGCACAGAAATTTATAATTTTGATGTAGTCCAATTTATTTATAATCTGTTACTTGTGCTTTTAGTGTCGTATCCAAGAAATCACTGCGAAATCTAATGTCAGAAAGCTTTTCCCCTATGTTTTCTTCCAGGAGTTTTACAGTTTTAGGTCTCCAATCCATTGTGAGTTAATTTTATATATGGTATAAAGTAAGGGTCCAAATTCATTTTTTTGCATGTGGATATCTAGTTTTCCCAATACCATTTGTTGAAAAGATACCCACTGAATGATCCTGGCATCTTTGTCAACAATCATTTAACCACACAAGTAAAAATTTATTTCTAGTTTCTTTATTCTATTCCATTGGTCTATATACCTTTCTTTATGTCATTACCAAACTGTTTTGATTACTGTAGCCTTATAGTAAGTTTTGGAATCAGGAAGTATAGACCTCTAACTTTGATCTCCCCTTTCAAGATTGTTTTGGATGTTTAAGTTCCCTTGAGATTCCATATGAATTTTAGGATGGATTTTTCTCTTTCTGCAAAAAAAGTCATTGGGATTTTCGTAGAGATTGCAGTGAATCTGTAGATCACTTTGGGTAGTACTGACATCTTAACAATATGAAGTCTTTCAATCCATGAACATGGGATGTCTTTCCATTTATTGGTGCCTTCTCTAGGCCTGATTTTGAATTGCATTTCTTTCCCCCATAGTAACACGTTTCACGAAAAGAAGTATTCACAACAAATTTGTCACTCACTAAGATACTCTGAGTGAGTATCCAAGAGAATTATATCACTCATGTCTAAAAGACTAATGGGAAAGTCAAAAGAAAGTAATCTAATTCTCCCATGCCAAATTTACTTATATCTTTAGTCTTAAGATCACCGTATAAGGCTTCAGAGTGAGTTTAGGAAAACTACCAAATTAGATATTATACTCAGATTTCGTATTTGCAAATAATACCTAATAATTTCTTTTTCTCAAATGTAATGCAATCTTTAAGAAGTAGTTCTAAATCATATGGTACTGCATGTAGCCAGTGAATAGTTATCTGAAAAACTAAAAAAATGAGTTGGTCTCATGATTGCTCTAAACTAGATATTTCAACATACTCCAACTAAATTCAGTTCTTGAGCACAAATTAATTAATACTACTTTCTAACTTGTGCTACATACATATTAGTATAACATATACCTAACATAAAGGGACCTAACAGTATTAATGGAGATAGCTTAATGAGATTTTTTCCTTTAATACTGTACTTAAATCATACAGATTGAACTTAGATACTTACTGGCCCATATCTTCAACCTTTACAAAAGGCTTTTTGAGTCTACCTGCTTGAGAACGTACAAAACATGGTATCAGATACAAATCCAGGATTTTTTTTTTTAAACAAAACTACTCTAGCTTTAAAAAACCCCAACAACGTATCCATTATCCATTTCTTTTCAATTCTAAGTTTTAAGCCTCAGGTGAGGTATTTTACAATATCAACCCATTTCCAACGTAACTGAAACTGTCTATATTCTGAGATTCTTAAACTGAATGGATCACCCAAAGGATCTATGAATAGAATGCAGGAGGATCATGAGCTGGAACAGGAAAAAAAAAATCCAACTTTTATTTTCACTAACCTCTAACCGAAATTTAACATTTCCTCTAATTTTGCATATAAGCAACAGGATCACAGTAGTATTAGCAGTGCCTGTAATTCTGATACCAATTGAAACAGATATTTTCATATCATATTAGTTATTACAGATATCTCAAAGCGTCATTTATGCCTTTCACTTCAAAACGACAGTAGCAATTAGAATCACTGCTAGAACTTGTTTTTAATGGGTAATAAAAGCAAGTATATCACTATTTCATTATTAAAAATATCCTGATAACTGAATTCCAATATAATTGATTTTCTTTGTAACGTAATGATTTTTCAAAAATGTTTTTAAAAACATTACTCTGAGAAGGGGTCCATAGGCTTCACCAGACTGCCACAGGGGTCCATGTTCTAAAAAGGCTAAGAACTACTGACTAAGTCATTTAAAGGGTTGCTTACATGATTTTTTAGATTTTTATATGATTCGTTCTGTTTCCTAAAAGTAAACTAACCACATAATTTAAGGATATCAAAATACTTACTTCTTGCTTTCTGTGTGCCAATACCTACTCTTTTCCCCTACAAAAAAAAAAAAAAAAAAAAAGTGTAGTGAAAATACTGGATTTGAAAGTACCGTGAAACAGCAACTACAATTGCTCACTATCCTCAAGATAAAAACATCACAGAGGAAAAGGACTATATAAAATAAAGGTGATTATTGTTTTGTGGGGAAAAAAAGAGAAGAACTTGCTTTTAAAAATCAATTCAACCAAAAAAATGAAAGGAAACAATGACCATTCAAGAATTAAAGATCTTAACCATTAACATGGAATTTAGTAATACAAGCTCACTTTTACAATTCAGCCAACAAGTACTTTGGATTCTAGCTATAATTGTTTTTGTCTTCACAAAAAGAAATCAACCAATAAGGAAAAGGTGCACTTAATGAAATAATCTAAAAATAGTCATGCAAGTTATTTTTATGCCCTTATTCAGCAAAACCTCTGTGATAAACTGAAAAAGGAATTATTAAAAAATTTATTAGTTGTCAATTCCAGTCAAGATGAAATACATCCAACATGGTCTGTAAATCCCACTGATTAAAAACTCTGGACAAAATACAATAAGCAACTACCTGCAAACTGAAAAGTACACAAAAGCAGGCATATTGAGGAGAGAAGTCAAAACTTTAAGAGGCTACCTTTAAGGGGGTAAGTTTCCCATTTCCCCCATCCTTTTCTCTTGCAACGTTGAGTAGAGGATGGACCTATAATTACGAAGTTGGCAGCAACAGTGGAGCCAGTGGCTAAAATTCCTATACAAACTCCATCTTTCAGGCTAGAAAGAACCAGGAAAGAGGCTCTTGCAGTCCAAAGAGTACAAAGGGAAACGCTGTATCATTTCTTCTTTCTTTTCTCCCACAGTTTTGCCCAGAGAGTGGGCCCCAGTTATGAAACTGCAGTTGTAAAGGTGCCACAGGCAGCTAAAATTGAGAAACCCTGTCTTTCTGACCAGAGGAACTAGGAAGGCCCATTGTGGACTGGAGAGTAAAGGGGAAACCGCAGAGAGTAGCAAGCTGGAGAAGGGGTTCCCTAATTTCCTGTATAAACTCATATTAAGTGCCAGGCTTAACTCCAAGGCTAAATCTAAGTTGCATATGCTAAGGACAGACCCAAAGCATATCAAGGGCTTTGAAAACGGAACTAAGATTTAAACCACTGCCCAAGTCTTGAACTAACCGTCAAGTGATGCATTTGCACAACAAACAGAAAGCTGCATACAAGTCTTTGAAAACCGAAACTGAGATTAGAATCACCACCTACAGAAATTGAGACAGAACTGACAGTTTGAACAAAACTGGATGACTGCCTGCTAAAGCAATGACAGCAACAAGAAGAAAATCAGCGGTTCTCCAGATAAATATAATAGATCTGGGGTCTACACAAAATAACATTTACAATGTCTAATATGCAGTCAAAAATTATTTGATATATTAAGAACCAGGAAAACATGATCAATTCTTGAGGGAAAAATCAGATGCCAACCCCAAGATGTTCCTGATGGTGGAATTATCAGAAAAAGACTTTAAAGTAAAGGTAAACAACTTAAAATGAATGGAAAGATGTAAGTTCTCAGCAGAAAAAGACTATAAAAAAGAATCAAATGGAAATTGTAGAACTGAAAAACACATAATTTGAAATACAGAATTCACTGGATGAGACTTAATAGCAGGACACAGATGACAGAATGAAGTGTCAGTGAATTTGAAGGCAGATAAATAGAGATGTGCAATTAAAAGAATGGAGAAAAAAAAAGATTGGAAAAAAAAATGAACAGAGCTTCAGGGACCCAGCAAGTACCTACCATTCTAGCTATAATTAATATAAAAAAGTCTAACAGTCTTATCAGAGTTGTAGAAAGAGAGGAGAGAGAATGGTGAGGAAAAAAATTTTAACAAAATAACAGTGGAAACTTTTCAAACATAAATTTACAGATTCGAGAAGCTCAGTGAACAGCAAACAGAATAATTTCAAAGTACACCATGGCTAGGCATATTACAATCAAACTGCTGAAAACCAAAGACACAGAAAAAATCTTGAAGGCACACAAAAATGATACATTACATATAAGGAACAACAATTAGAACGACTGCAGATTTCTCATCAGAATCCACGGAAGGCAGAATATATAGCTGTGGAACACTTGTAAAGTGCTGAAATAAAAAAACTTTTAATTCATAATTCTTTATCCAGTGAAAACACCATGCACGAATGAAGGTGAAATAAAGATATTCTCACATGGAGGAAAACTAAGAGAATTCACTGCCAACAAACCTGCTCTTAAAGAAACACTAAAGGAAGTTCTTCAGGCTAAAGGAAAAATAGCATCAGAAGGAATTGTGGAACTTCAGGATGAAGAAAGAGCAAAAGAAAAGATAAACACCTAGGTAAATAAGACTATTTTTCTCCTCTTAAGTTCTTTAAAATATATATGACTTTTTCAAGCAAAGAGGATAACATTGTCTGGTGGATTTTTCATATATGCGCATGTAATAAAAATAACATTATACTATAAAGATTGGTGGGGGAAGGTAAAAGGGCTCTAAAAGTTTTAAGGTTTCTACATTTTATTTGAAATCGGTACAGTATTAATTCAAAATAGACTGTGAAAGGTTACATACATATTTTAAATCCTGTAGCGACTACAAAAGAAAACTATTAGTGTACTGGCAGGCATAAGTTCAATGATATTGATAATTCATTAAGTATAAAGTCACAACATGCCAATTAAAAGAGATTGCTAGATTTGATAAAAAGACAACTTTTTACTGTCTACAAGAAACACATTTTAAATAGATATGTTAAATGTAAAACGAATCAAAAAGATACACCATACAAACACTAAGCAAAAGGAAGCTGGAGTAGCTATATTATATCAGGCAGAGCAGACTTCAGAAGAAAAACTACTAACAGGGACAGAGAGGGATATCATATAATGATAAAATGGTCAATTCACCAAGAAGACATAAGAATATTAAACGTGTACACACCTAACAAGACTCAAAATACAAGAATCAAAAACAATGACAGCATTGAAAGGAAAAACACAAAAATCCACAATTAGATTTGGCACTTCAATACTCCCCCCTCTCTCAATAATGGCTAGAACAAGACAGAAAATCAGTATGGATACAGACGACCTGAACAATACCATCATCCAACTTGACCTATTCGACATTTATAGACCACTTCACCCATTAACAGAATATACATTTTTTTCAAGTGCACATGGAACTTGCACTAAGAAAGACTATATTCTGGGCAACAGAACAAACCCTGACACACTTAAAAGAACTGAAAACAAACAAAGTATGTGCTCTGACCATAAGAGAACTAAAACAGAAATCAGTAACAGAAAGAGATGTGGAAAACTCCAAATTATTCAAAAACAAATGATGTAATTCCAAATAACCCATAGGACAAAGAATAAGTCATAAAAGAAATTTTAAAGTATTTTGCATTGAATGAAGATGAAAATCCAACATATCAGCAACAGGAACGCTCATTCACTGCTGGCGGGAATGCAAAATGGTACAAGCCATTTTGGAAGACAGTCTGGTGGCTTCTTACAAAGCTAAACATACTCTTACCATATGATCCAGCAATCATGTTCATTGGTATTTATCCAAATGAGTCAAAAACTTATGTCCACACAAAAACCTGTGCACAGCTGTTTATATCTGTAATTTATCCATAACTGCCAAAACTTGGAAGCAACCAAGATGTCTTTCAGAAGGTGAATGGATAAACTGTGGCACATCCAGACAATGGAATATTCAGCAACAAAAAGAAATGAGCTAGCAAGTCATGAAAAGCTATCAAGCTATGAAAGGACACGGAGGAACTTTAAATGCCTATTACTAAGTGAAGAAGCCAATCTGAAAAGGCTACATACTATGATTCCAACTATATGACATTCTGGAAAAGGCAAAACTATGGACATAGTAAAAGGATCAGTAGTTGCTATGAGTAAGCAGGGGAGAGAGGGATGAATAGATGGATCATGAAGAATTTTTAGGACACACTATTCTGTATGATACTATGATTGTGGATACATGTCACTATACATTTGTCTAAACCCACAGAATGTACAACACCAAGAGTGAACACTAATGTAAACTATGGACTCTGGGTTATAATGATATGTCAATGTAGGTTCATAGATTGTAACAAATGTACTACTCTGGTGGGGGATGTTGATAATGGGGGAAGGTATATGGAGGTAAGGGGTATATGAGAAATATCTGTACCTTCCACTAATTTGGCTGTGAACCTAAAGCTGCTTTAAAAAAATAAAGCCTATATATAAAAAAAAATCCAACACAAAATGTGTGATGCAGCTAAAGCAGAGCTTAAAGGAAATTTACAGCAAAGCTGGTTCTTTGAAAACATTCATTGATAAAACTCTAGCCAAGCTGGCCAAGAGGGAAAAAAAAAGACAGAATAATGATATCAGGAGTGAAAGAGGAGACATCATTACAGACCCCTGGACATTAAAAGCTAACTTACTAAGGGAGTATTACAAACACTTTTGCGATCAATTCAACTATTTAGACAAAATGTACAAATTCCTTGAAAAATACAAAAACACAAACCAAAGTGCACTCAACAAGAAAGAAATAGCCTGAATGTCGTCTATCTAATAAAAAAACTGAATTCATATTTGAGAATTTTCCAACAAAGAAAATTCCAGGCCCAGATAATCTTACTGGTAAATTCTACCAAACAAGTAAGAAATAAAACCAATTCTAAAAAACTTGTCTACAAAATAGAAGTGGAAATACATCCCAGCATTTTATGAGAACAGCATTACGCTGACACTAAAACCAAAGACATCAAAAGAAAAAAAAGACCAATATTCCTCATGTACATATATGCAAAAAATTCTCAACAAAATAAGTTTCAGGTAAACTGAGGGGGGGGAACTCAAAGCATTTTAAATAAAGTAATGGAGCAAAATACACTTATCCAACTAATTTTTTTTAAAAGATACATACTAACAAGAGTATTTATGAGACTCTAATGTCTTAAAATTTAAATGCACTATTTAGTGTACATAAAATTTATACATATTCATTCAAGACCCATAAAAGCATCTTCATTAAAAAGTTGTATGTTTCAGTACTTGGCAAACCAAAAATTTTCCAGAAACATTTTTTTCTCACATACAGAAAAAAATTTCAAGTATTGGAACCAAGTCAACCAGTTACACATCCTGGATTATGAAGGTATTTGGTATGCCTATCCTTTTAGTTTAGGGAGAAAAGTAGGATCTGTTTCACAGCTATTTATCCCAGCTTTTTATTGTTTTTCTTGTTTCATGAGGGCAAATACTCCTAGTGCCTCGCACATAACAGGCACTGAGTATTTGTTGAATACTGAATGAATAATACGGGTTACATGTGTAAACAAAACCCAGTATTGAAAAAGATAAGATATATCTGGGCCTTCATGGAGTTTATATTAGATTCAAGGCACTGGTTAGGGACTGACACCTGTTAGTAAGTATCTTTCAGATCTTCCCCTCCCCTTCAGTTACTAGCTTAAGTAGGTTTTCAACATTTCTCCTGATTACTGAGATAACACCCCAGAGTACTTTTTAAACTGTGGACTATATAACCTATTAGCAGGCTGTAAAATCAATTTAGAGTTGTGACTAGTATTTGTAGAATGAAAATCAAATACGATAGAAATACTGTAATGAAGCACATTAAGGGTAAGCATTGTTTCATGAAACTTGTTTCAGATATGTACTTATACATAGGCGTGTGTGTATAGATAGACATGATATGTGCGTGTACTGAGTCCATAAATGTCCTTGTGGGTTTAAATTTTCATGTTTATTTCTATATACAATCCAAACAATCCACAAAACGCAGTAGGGATAATCTATACGTTATTTAGCATATTTCAATAAAGGAATATTCACCCATCATTTTGGAAAAATTTGGAAATAGCCATTTGGAATTATTTTACTTATAAATAAGACATCCAAACAAAGTATTAACAGTTTTATTTAAATACTAAGTAAATTATTTGTTGCTTTCTGCAAACTGTTCATACCTTAATGTGAATTTATTAAAAATGTGAAATTCATGAAGACTTTATGAATCTTTGTATATCACATGCATATACAGGGTACTCATGATGTAAAGTATGTTTCTTATTGAAAATTGAGTTCAAGAAAGTTCAAAAGCCACTGTCCGATCGTCAGTCTCGCCAGCAAAATTCTTTACCGACAATCAGATGATCTTTCCAAAATGCCTATCCAACCAGGTTACTCTCCTACTACTAATCTCACAACAATTTTCCAAACCCTTCAAGATAAAAATCTAACTCCTTTATATAGTGCACAAGGTCCTATCTGAACTTGGTAATTTTTCCGGCTTCATCTCTTGTCATTCTCCCACTCAAAGGTCAAGTTGTATTATACAGAAAATTTCCTAAATATGCCATCCTACTTACGACTTCATGTCTTTACATACACTCTTTTATAAAATTTATTATCCTTTTAGATTCTAGTTATCCAAGGATTGAGTGAAGAAAAAGCAGACCACGAAAGAATGGTCTGAGAGATATAAAAACCATGAGACAGCTAAGAGATGAAAGAAGTTTCATAAGAAAATAGATAAGTTCAAGGAGGAAAGGAATGCTAGCTGAGAGAACCAATATAACTGGTTTTAAAAATGCTAACCTGATTTGGCAAATTGTTCAGTAGTTTCATACCTCATAAGTTGAAGAGTGAATGGGAAGTATAAAAGTGGACATTTAATGGGGGCCGGCCCCCTGGCTTAGCGGTTAAGTGCACACACTCCACTACTGGTGGCCTGGGTTCGGATCCTGGGCACGCACTGACACACCGCTTGTCCGGCCATGCTGAGGCGGCATCCCACATACAGCAACTAAAAGGATGTGCAACTATGACGTACAGCTATCTACTGGGGCTTTGGAGAGAAAAAGGGAGAAAAAAAAAAAAAGGAGGAGGATTGGCAATAGATGTTAGCTCAGGGCTGGTCCTCCCCAGCAAAAAAAGGAGGATTGGCATGGATGTTAGCTCAGGGCTGATCTTCCTCACACACACACAAAAAAAGTGGACATTTAAGAAGTTTGGGGGCCGGCCCCATGGCTTAGCGGTTAAGTGCGCGCGCTCCGCTGCTGGCGGCCCGGGTTCGGATCCCGGGCCTGCACTGACGCACCGCTTCTCCGGCCATGCTGAGGCCACGTCCCACGTACAGCAACTAGAAGGATGTGCATCTATGACATACGACTACCTACTGGGGCTTTGGGGGGGTAAAAAAAAATTAAAAAAAAAAAGAAGTTTGGGTGATATAAATATTAGATAGTAGTTAGGAAAAGAGATGAGATCAAGGGAGGTTTTAATGCATTTGTTTTAAAGGACAGAAGAGGCTTGATTCTGTATAGAGGCTTCAAGGAGGAAGTTAGCAAAAATGGAAGAGATTGAAGATACGAGAACATTAGGTCTAACAGAGTGTAATGCCCAATGTGCTTATTTTACAAAAATTTGGAGGTCAGGCCAGATAGTCATACTATATAACAAGATTTTGTTATATCACCATTCTACAGCAGTTGAACAGTATATTTCCTATTTATGTTCCCAAAAGGAATATATTATTTATAATAGGAACTTCTTATGCAATAGACTAATTGTGGTGTTTTCCTTCAGAATGAACAAAAGTATCTGTTATAAAGAAGCAGCAACCAGGGCCGGCCCCGTGGCTTGGTGGTTGGGTGAGCGCGCTCCACTGCTGGCAATCCGGGTTCGGATCCCGGGCTCGCACCGATGCGCTGCTTCTCCGGCCATGCTGAGGCCGCGTCCCACATACAGCAACTAGAAAGATGTGCAGCTGTGACACACAACTATCTACTGGGGCTTTGGAGGGAAAAATAAATAAATAAAATCTTAAAAAAAAAAAAAAAAAAAAGAAGCAGCAACCAAAGAGGAAAAAGAAAAAAAAAAAAAAACAAACCAAAACTATGCCACCATCCAGGTGGCAACTCTTACCTCATTAAGTCCTAAAATTAAATGATACAAAATTTATTCAAATAACAGAAACACGCATATAGTATGCAGGCTTACCCCTAGGATACCCTGGCAATAATATTTTCTACTTCTCAAGAAAAATTTTATAGATATGTAAATAAAAACCAAGGTTGATTACTTTAGTTTAAAAATTAAGGAAAATAACATACCACATCTCTTACAGAAGTGCTTGATTTCTTCAGTAGATACAATTCTTTTTTCTTTTGTTCAATGTAGTATCTAATGTCTTTATTAAAGGAAAGAAGGGTTTAAGATTAGCATTTTTACCTTTGTAGTTAAATATTGCTCTTTTCTTATAATCATACTAAATTTAGATGAAAGAATTACCACTACAGTTATCTCTTGCTATCAGAATTCTTGTTATGTAAAATTAGGAATCAACCGACAGAGATGGCTATGTATAACAAATATTGTCAAAAACCAATTATAAAAAACCTTACCATCAATATGAAGAATTTTTACTCCCCATGATAAGGCATTTGATAATATACTATTTGAAGGAATAAAATCCTGTAAAAAAAAAAAGTTCAATAATTTTTCTAGGAAATTATATGTTACATGAGCTAAATTAAAAAAAATTACTTAAAGCTTAATGTCACTGAGAGGGTTACTCAGAATAAACCCTATACAGTTACAAGAGCAATGAGGACATCAGTTTTTTCTTTTGGAATTTCTCAAATCAATCCTGCTTAATATATTTCCATATTCTTGACCATTAATGCACACTGTAGCCTTACAGTTAATAGTTTTAAGAAATTATTTCATTTAAAAATACAAAAATGCCACAAGCTTCAGAAGTCTCCAGTAATATTTTAAAAGGCCACAAGATGGAGATGTTTCTTCAGGAAAAGCAGATTCTGTTCTTTGTAAAATTAGATACATGCTGATATTTACGCTTTTCCTATTAAAAATAAGGAAAGGAAGATTTCAAGAACATCTCTCTTTTTCCACTTGAGTTATTAATAACAGGTAATGCACTGTGAATTTTAAAAGTTCCTACTTACATGGTCCTTGATAGCTTTTTCAACTAATAATTTTCCTCTGCTCAAACACACCTATAAAAAGACCAGAGAACAAACATAAAAAGTTACAACATAGTGCCTCATTGGAAAAAAGGTTAAAAAGATAAATAAAATTTATAAACTTTAATATATATATAAAATTTAAAATAGATAAATTTTATTGGTACAAGTCTTAATGACTATCAACACAAAAAAAGTATGATAAAGATTTTATTTATTTATTTTTTTCCCCCCCAAAGCCCCAGTAGATAGTTGTATGTCATAGCTGCACATCCTTCTAGTTGCTGTACGTGGGACTCGGCCTCAGCATGGCCAGAGAAGTGGTGCATCGGTGCGCGCCCGGGATCTGAACCCGGGCCACCAGCAGCGGAGCGCGCGCACTTAACCGCTAAGCCACGGGGCCGGCCCAAAAAAAGTATGATAAAAAGTGATTTCCTTAGAACTTTTGTAATAAGATCTATTAAAAAGCTTGTTTCTTCCTTTTTCGGTGGAGCAACTTAACTCAATCGAATGAGACCCAAGGTGAGTTCCATAGTAAATTCTATCCAATATGAAAAATAAAATAGGTTCCTCTGAAATTCTATCTATAATTAAATAAGTTTACATTTTAGTTTCCTATTAAACTGAAGATCTAAGAATATGAATAGTTAAACTGTATATAGTGTTTTTACATGGTATTTCACTTTTTAAATAAAATACTAGGAAAAGCAATTGAAATGCTAAGAGCAACAATTAATTTGGAACTAGTCACTGGTATATAATCCTGCTCCTCCAAAAAAAAAAGCATTAACTGAAAGAATGTATGAGTCTTCCTTGGTCTCCTCTCCAACTTTTTTCCTTCTATGTATTTGTTCCTTTTCTCAAGTGATATCTATTATGTAACTCATTTCTTCTGCTTCCCCACCCCCCATTTTCCTGCTTCCCAAATGGCTACAGTAGATAAGTTCAGAAGAATATTAAAAAAGGATAATTACATTTCAATAGAAAAATGAGATAAACCTCTTACTTTTCAATCTCTTCCCCTCTCCACACCCAATTAAATCAATTTATCCTTCACTGTATCTTCCAACTTATTGGCAATGGAGTGGTAGGGAAGTGATGTCAGTAATTCTAGAATAGGGGTTGGCAAACTTTTTCTGTAAGGGCCAGACAGTACATGCTTTAGGCTCTGCAGGCCACGTGGTCTATGTCGCAACTATCCAATTCTGCCGTTATACAAGGAAAGCAACCAATCAATATGTAAAATGAATAGGTATGGCCGTGTTCCAATAAAACTTTATGGACAATGAAATCTGAATTTCATATAATTTCCACTTGTCACAAAATATTCTTTTGACTTTTCCTCAACCATTTGAAAAAGTAAAAACCATGCCTAGCTCAAAGGCTGTAAAAAAGAGGCAGCAGGCTAGATTTGGCCCAGGGGCCATAGTTTGCTCACTCCTGTTTTAAAACAAACAAAAGGTTTCTATTTCCTCTTTAAAACTATGATTTGCTGTTACTTTTTAGTGGTAAAATATTCTAAAACATAAAAGCCATCCCTAAACACAAGCGTGTATTTTAGCAATCAGAGTATGACTACACAAGTACTATTAGGAGAAAAATCACTGTTCTGTAAGACAGCAACCTTATTAACTGGAAAGCTACATATAATGAAGATATTGTTCTACCTAAGTGAACTCTGCTGCCAGCCTGCTGTTGAAAATCATGAGCTCCTCAGGATACAGCCTTTCTGAGAGTCTCAAAGCATGTGTAACAGACTTACTGAATCTGGAGACTTAAATGAACTTCCATCATGGCTGGGATGAGGTGAGGTAGTTTCTGCAGTATATGCAGATTCTGGACTTGGTACAGGAGAAATTCGTCCCAAGGTTTGCGCAAATTTAGCTTCCTTTTTATTTGAAATAAGATAACTGATATCTTTGCTGAGAAATTCTTCAACTCGCTAAAGGAAAACAAAGTATTTTTAGGTATGTCATATAAACCATAAACTGTATCATATACTAGGCACGGGTAAAATGCCAATTTGATGCATTTTAATATTTAGTAAATTGGTGGTTTTTATACTGTATTCTTCTGAACCTAGAGTTCTGAGGAAGTACAGTTGGAGTTCCAATAACAACATAAAAACAACAGCATGTGCTAGATAGTATTTTTAAATACTTTATATATCCTAATTAATTTAATCCACATAACAACCCCACAGTACTAATATTATCCACATTTTGTGGCGAAGAAAACTGAAGTTAAATGACTTGCTTGAGGTTACACCAGTAGTAATAGAATTTGAACACAGGTATTCTGATTCAAGTCAATGCTCTGAAGTAGTACCATCCAATAGAACTTACTGCAACGATGGAAATGTTCTTTATCAGCACTGTCCAGTATGGCAGCAACTCGATACATGTGGCTACTGAGTACTTGAAATGTAACTAATGTGACTGAGCAATTGAATTGAAAATTTTATTTTAATTAACTTAAATTTAAGTATCCACTTGTGCGGGGGCCGGCCCAGTGGCATAAGCAGTTGGGTGCGCTCCGCTTCACTGGTTCGGATCCCGGGTGCGCACTGATGCACTGCTTGTCAAGCCATGCTGTGGCGGCATCCCATATAAAGTGAAGGAAGATGGGCATGGATGTTAGCCCAGGGCCAGTCTTCCTCAGCAAAAAGAGGAGGATTGGCAGATGTTAGCTCAGGGGCTGATCTTCCTCAATCAATCAATCAATCAATCAATCAATCAATAAATAAATATTCACATGTGGTTAATGGCTACTGTTTTGGACAGCATAGTTCAAAATGATCAAGTTATAACATCTTCCCATAAGACTTAAACTAATGGGAAGGAGGGAACCCTTACCCTTAAGAGTGTTAAGACTGTTTGAAGAGAATTTCCCTACAAAAATATTTAAAACCACTGCTTAAATGCCTGAATTTATAAACACATGTAACAAAGTCAATATTATTGAAGATCACTCCCATTCAAGGACAGGAAAATTAAACTAGGTAGACATAAATACTATTAATCATTAACTATTTTCATAAATTAAAGACTGGTAAAATATTTTAAACAGCTATATCTAATTTCTACAGGATCTCATATAAATGGGGATAATTTAAAAAATGAAGCAAAGTATGTAATAGATGAGTTAATTTCATCTAAGCATTAAGTAGAATTTGCTACTAAGACCAGTGGCCCCCTTGGTTAAATGCAAATCACTAATTCCTTTTTTCTTAAGCAACAGTTTCATCAACCAGTAAATAAACTTAAGTATCCACGTTTATTCCAAGGATCACAAACTCAAATGCCTACAAGGGCCAGGAGGAATATAAATGAACAATTTACACATCAAATACTTTCTTCATTTTCATAAATATGTGGCCCTAGCACTGGCAGAGGTTCCAATTTTTCATGAGAAGCCCAATCTCCTACTTTTTTTTTGAAAAAAAAAAAAAAAAAATTTTTTTTAAAATAATTTTATTTATTTATTTTTTCCCCAAAGCCCCAGTAGATAGTTGTATGTCATAGCTGCACATCCTTCTAGTTGCTGTATATGGGACGCGGCCTCAGCATGGCTGGAGAAGCAGTGTGTTGGTGCGCGCCTGGGATCCGAACCCAGGCTGCCAGCAGCGGAGCGCGCGCACTTAACCGCTAAGCCACGGGGCTGGCCCTCCTACACGTTTTTTTTTTAAATTGTGATAAAATATATATAACAAAACTTACCATTTTAATCATTTTTAAGCATACAATCAGTGGCATTAAGTACATTCACAATGTTGTGCAAACAATACCACTATTCATTTCCAGAACTTTTTCATCATCCCAAGCTGATAACAGTACCCGTTAAACAATAAATCCCCATTCTCCCCTCTCCCCAGCCCCTTTTAATCTCGATTCTACTGCTTCTATGAATTTGATTATTCTAGGTACCTCATATAAGTGGAATCTTCTATTTGTCCTTTTGTGCCTGGCTTATTTCACTTAGCACAATGTTTTCAAGGTTCATCCACGTTGTGGCATAGACCAGAATTTCATTCTTTTTCAAGGTCGAATAATATTCCATTGTATGTATATACTACATTTTGTTTATCCATTCATCTGCTGATGAACATGTGGGTTGTTTCCACCTTTTGGCTATTGTGAATAATGCTGCTATGAACACAGGTATACAACTATCTCTTTAAGAGCTTGCTTCCAACTCTTTGGGTATATACCCAGAAGTGGAATTGCTCGATAATATGGTAATTCTATTTTTAATTTTTTGAGGAACCATCATACCATTTTCCATAGCAGCTGCACCATTTTACAATCCCACCCACAGTGGATTCCAGTTTTCCCACATCCTCGACAACACTTATTTTTTTTTGATAATGACCATCCTAACGGATGTGAGGTGGTATCTTATTGTGGTTTTGATTTGTATTCCCCTAATGATTAGTGATGTTGAAATCTTTTCATGTGCTTATTGGCTTTTAGTATATCTTCCTTGGAGAAATGTCTATTCAAGTCCTTTGCTCCTTTTTTAACAGGGTTGTTTTTTGTTGTTGAGTTATAGGAGTTCTTTATATATTCTGGATATTAATCCCTTATCAGATATATAATTTGGAAGTATTTTTTTCTCCCATTCTGTGGGTTGTCTTTTCACCCTCCTGACAGTGTCCTTTGATATATAAACCCTTTTTCATTTTTACAAAGTCTAATTCATCTATTTTTTCATTTGTTGCCTGTGCTTTTGGTGTCATATCCAAAGAATCAACACCAAATCCAATGTCATGAAGATTTTTCTCTATATTTTACATGAAGAGTTTTAGCTCTTATGTTTAGAACTTGATCCATTTTAATTAATTTTAGCATACGATGTACAGTAAGGGTATAACTTCATTCTTTTGCATGTGGATATCCAGTTTTCCTAGCATAAATTGTTGAAAAGATTGTCCTCTCTCCACTGAATGGTCTTGGTACCCTTGTTGAAAATCAACTGACTATATATGCAAGGGTTTATTTCTCGGCTTTCTATTCTATTGTATTTGTCTATATGTCTGTCCTTATGCTAGTACCACACATTTCCTTTGGTTTTCCATTTCCTATAGCTCAGGTTATAACTCTTAAGTAGTGAATAAAATGTCTTTTACAATATGGCCCCAATATAACATTGTTTCTTGCCATTTCCCTCATCTAAACCCCAAGCTCAAACTACATTTCAATACCAGCAGTTGCTCAAACAAACCACACATATATTTTAAATATGCTCTTTCCTCTATTTAGTTTGTCCATTCTGCCTGGTATATTCCTACTAGGCTTTCAAGACTCAGCTCAAACTTTATCCCTGCTATGATTCCTAAAGGAAGAGTTAATCATTTCTATCTCTGTATTCTAATGGCAATTTCGATATAATTTCGGTTAAAGCACTGACAATGCTATACCATAAATTATGTATTTAGGTGTCTGATATTCCCATAGACTGAGAAGTCCTAGAGGACTACACTACATCTTACTTATTTTTGCATCCTCGGCATCTAAAATAGTGCTGGCATATGGGAGACACTGGTGGAATAATTTTTGAATGAATTTCCACATGCCCAAACCATAATCATTCTTCAAAGCTGAGTTCAAATTGTGTCTGTACAATGGGCTTCAAGATTTCTCAGTTGGAAGTAATCTCTCCCTCTTCTTGACATTCTGTATTGTATTAATATTAATTGTACCCATGCCATCTCTACCTAGATTAGAAGTTGAGGGCAGGATGGACACCAGACTCATCTTTGAATCTACCAAAACACTTAATACCGTGCCCTATACTGTTGACTTAATTTTATTATGGTCTTCAATTTATTACCTATTGTTGAATCTACATCTTTTAAAGAGTAAACTCGAAACCTGTTTTCTGATGACTCAAGATCACAATAAACAAACAAGTAACTCTGTCTTCAAGTTCATAATATGGTAAGGTATCTGCCCTTACATCTCTTTTCTTCTCTAACTGCCTTGTTTTAGCCCAAACTGTTTAGACATGGACCTAAATGTGGTTGGTTCTATGTCCTTTTTAGATGGTTTTGTAACAGCTATTTTCCTTGCTATTATTAAAGATATTCCCCATTATGTCAGGCTTCACTTGCTGTGCTCTCAGTGCTTAAATTTGTCAGAAGCGTACTCTCCAGATAAATGGGGTATTTAGATGTTTTCATTAAGACTAGAGAAAACAAATGCTTAAAGTAGACATTAAAGAAAAGGACAACACTGGTAATAATATGAAGAAAGATAAATTACAAAAAGATAAAGGGCCTAAATAATCCTAACAATTAAGTAATAAGCACAATTTATTCAAGGAATATCTATTCAACTAAATATTCCTTAAAGCTTAATCTTAACACTTAAATGAATGTCTAGAAGTAAAAATTCCTTTATAGTTAGGATCTTCACAACAAAAGTCTTTTATAGTGATAGAAATGGTAATGTGCTAGGGACAGAAATTAGGACATGATTCAATTACTGGAAAGATAGTGTAGGGGGAGATCAGAATTTGATTAAAAAAATTTTTTAAAGAGCAATTAAAGACTAAAGTCAATAAATCAAATTCAGTTGAAAATCCACAGCGTTAGGGGAAAATCTGGAAACTTATGCCCTTAATAAACATATTAAGGAACACCTCACTTCATTGGTCTACTTCAAACCATTTTAGGATAAAAATTTAAAGTGTATAAAGCCAAAAGTCTCTCAACTATTATCTGATGCCTAAGTTAATTCAAAATTTGTTTCTTGCAAACTGCCTCAGGAACCGCTGTGGGGATGACAGGAGAGAACAAGGGGGCAAGGCAAGCAGTCTCTGCACTACTTCTATACTGCTGTTTTAGCTAGAGCAGTTCTGTATTTACCGGCTTTACACACTGGACTTCTGAATATGATTTTATTTGAAGGGTTCCACTGCTAAAAACACAAATCTAAAATCACTTATTTAGATCAGAAGGGCTAAGAGGTTATTCATCATATTTGAGAAAGCTGCAAAACTATATCAGATAGCTACTTTGTAGACATTAATTGCTAGAAGGATAGTCTGGGAATCTGGAGGCTACTCCTACCCTGGGCCAGTCATTTACCTTCTCTGGACCGTTAAGTACTTAATTTCTAAAATGAAGGGATCTCTTACTCAATGTCTAAGATCCTTAACACATTTAGACACTATTGATAAATGGTACAGTCAATACAGTGGCAGGCCTATAAAACATGACCTTGTGGAATGCAGTCATATGGTCATTATGATACATGCCACTACTGTCACAAACATGTGACAATGTTTCAGTTTAAGAAAATGAATAGCAAAAAAGTAGAATAGCTTTTCAAAGATAGATAAGTAAAATATCACGCCAATAAACAATTCCAAGAAACTTGTTACATGTTCTTTTGCAAATTTCTACTCCAGGAATGACAGGACCTGCTCAGATTATTAAAGATGTTAACCTTGACAAACTCAAAGTGCAGGAGAAACCTTTTAAACAGAAAGAATTAGGAAATAAACTCATAAAATCTTAACCTCACTTGCTAAAATTTACTCAATATTAACTTTAATCTTAAGAAAATCTTAGAATTTTACCCAAATTTTCTAATTTCCTAATCATTCACTCAATGAATAGGTAGGAAAGAAGCAGGTTTTCCATATTTTTAATCCAAAATCCTGTTCCCTAATGACATTCATTCTATTGAGACTCTATCACTTGAGCAATTTTAACTCTTTGTGGTCTGAACAGGTTTTCCTTGTTCTGTAAGTAACATTCTTGCTGTTATGCTAGTTCAGACAAATTTATGTATCTCTCCAATAATCATAATCAAGGAGTTCTTGCTATCTGGAGGATATCCTGACATTACAATGAGAAGGCAATCAGCGGTTCCAGAAGGACAAGGGAGTCTCATTTCTCACACTTTGTAAACTTTACATTATAGAAACCTGAAAGTTTTGTCAGACTACAAAAAGTTATAACAGATGGTTTTTCATTAATGATAAACAGCTGATAAAAATTTTAAGCTTGGTGCTTATATGGTTATAAGTTTTCCAAAATGAAAATTTTAAATGATTACATATTACAAAGCACTAGTTACAAATTTTTCCTTTTTTGTCGAAGTGTACGGTTTTGACTTACCCCTCCCAGATCCTTAATGTCCTTTTGCAGTTTTTCAGATATGGTGACAGAAGGTAAGTCAATATAAAATACTTTTCCCCAAAGCGGCTTATATTTGGATTTTTCTGGTTTGTTATCAGTTTTCAGAGATTTCAAAGATGGTCTGTTTTTTTCATTTTTGACTTGAATTCCACCTGTTGTTTAAAACATTTATTAGATGTTAGATTAGATTAGAATTAGATGTTTTATGCAGACAGAAAAATTTTAA